CAAGCAACTGCTTTCTGATTTCAGCGCCATCGTTCAATTTTGCTTTTTCTTCAGTGTCATATACAGAGAATCATAAGCTGCGTGTACTTTTCTATTGATGTTGTTCTTTGTGTGGATTTCCTTTTGGTGTTTTCTTTGGGAAGGGGGGAGACAGTGTTGACGGGCAGTGGGGCACGCTGCCAGCCACACTGCAGTCCTGGAGTGAGTGGTGGCTAGGTGTTACCTGAAAGAAAAGAGGGGAGGGGATGGATATATATTACACAAATTATAGCTGTAAAGTTGGTATTATTTCCGCTTGATTGCTGTGGTATCTGTGGCTCAGCAAGGTGAACTGATAAGGCTGATATTTCAGAGCGAGCAAGTGGTAGTAAAGCCAGGACTTGAAGCCTAAAGTCTGGTCTTTTTAACCTAAAAGGCTGGGCATGGCTGTTCCATAATTGAAGACTTTTTTTTTTCCCTGAAGAAGTGAAAAAGCAAATATTAAACTGCCTACCTCGCTGTGATAACCAAGGTTTGGGGAAGCTAAGGGTCAGGGTTATCAGGCCAGGAAACAGGGCAAGTTCTGTAAAGAGCTCCAAGTGGAGCAGGGAGGTAGCCAAGCCGGGAGGCGGAAAATGGCTTCACTCCTGGCCTGGAGCCCTCCTGGAAGTTTTTATAACTGGCCCTCAGGCAATCCCATTCCTTCCTGCTTTGAAGACCTCCAGAATTCAGAGGGCCAACACCTTGTGCTTTCAGCCAAGATTTTGGTGACACTTGGCCAAGGATTCAAGGTTAGTGTTGGGAACGGGGATAGTTAGGTCTTTCTCTTTGTGGAGATTCTTCAGCATGTACATTGGAATCACTGTTCTTCCATGTGAGGAAACGGGAACTCTCTTTAGGGGCTGGAGGTGGCTCCCCACAGGTTATTCTCTGCTGCTGCATCCCCTAGGCATGGTCTGGGATGGAGGTGAGAAAGACTCAGGATAGAGAAAGTTCTTATCACCTAAATGAATAAGAGATGTGGTTGAGGGATTAAGAGGTCATTGCAGGGCATCTTGGCCTGGTATTGGTTCGGGGAGGATGTGAGGAACTACCGGGCTGTTTATATTGATGAGAATGAAATCCCTCTGAGCATCCAGGTTTAAAAAATATACTTAGATTATTTTATGATACATCAAATGAATTCCAAATGGACTATATGCAAACTATTTTTTTATCTCATAAAAAAATCAGGAATAGAAGTAGATACTTCCCAAATTTTCTGAACTTTAAAGCAATAAAAGAAAACTTGAAAGAATTTTTATGACCACATTTAAAAAGTATGTGACAGAATATTTGTAACAAATAGGAAAGATAAAAAGCTAATAATACCCTTATTATATAAAGAGTTAACATCTGCTACAGGAATGAAATGTGACAGAACAGAGCATTCAGAAACAGACTCAAGTAAGTATGAGAATGTGGTCCATGATAAAGATGACATTTTAAGTCTGTGGGATAAAAATAGAATATTCAATATGTCTTGGAATAGTTGGCTAAGCATTTGGGATAAAAACACTAAAGCTCTGCTTCACTGCTTACACCAAAATAAATTCAAGTGGATCACATATTTAAATTGGAGTGCCTTGAGAAACAGGATTACGTTGTAGGTATGAGCAGAGCTTCTGGAGTTAGACAGTCCGGGCTTGCAGCCCACCTCTGCCCGTCACCAGCCCTGCGACCTTGGGGAACTTAATCACTTTGTGCCTCACTTTTGTAAGATGGAGATGAAAATAGTACCTGCCTCCCAAGGATTGTTGTGAGGAGTAAATGAGTTGATCTCTGGAAAGGGCTTGCAACAGTGCTTGGCACATACAGGTGTTCTAAAGTGTGGCTGCTTTCATCATCATCATCACCGAAAAAGTTAAAACTATAAAGGCAGTATGGCAAATATTGTTTATAAGCTTGGGGTTGGAGAAACTCTTTTTAATCATGACACAAAAGCCATACCCCAGGAAGGAAAAGTTTGAGAGATTCGATATTTGAAACTTTTACACGTGGGGAAAGAATGCCATCGGGGTGGGGTGCCAGAGGTCACCATCCCTAGAAGGGATAGGCTGTGAGGTGACAGCCATTCATTTAGTGCTTCCTGAACTGAACCTGGAAGATGATGAGGAGAAGCTGGGCAAGTGCCCTGGGGAGAGACTGTCTCGGTGATTTCGGTGTTGTCTGGGTCTTTCTACTCGAGACTCCTGGATTAGTCTCCTGCGGCTGCTCTAACAAGTTACCACAGACTTGGTGTCTTCAGACAACAGAGTGTGTTCTCACCACTCAATTCTGGAGGCTAGAAGGCCGAAATCAAGGTGTTGGCCAGGCCGTGCTCCCTGTGAAGGCTGTGGGGCACAATCTTCCCTTGCTTCCACTGGATGCTGGTGGCTCCTGGCTTTCCTTGGATTGTGGTGGCCTCGCTCCAGTCTCTCCCTCTTCCCCTACTTCTGCACCACCTTCTCTGTATGTCCTCTCCTCTTCTTAGAAGGACATTGGTCATTGAATTTAGGACACACCCAAATCTGGTATAACCTCAACTAATTGTATCTGCAAATTATATCTGTTTCCAAATAAGATCACATTGTGAAGTTCTGTTCAGACGTGAATTTGGGGAGGATGCCAGTTCACCACAGCTGACCCACCACAACTGTTGTGCTGCTTTTCAGGGAGAAAGCAGTGCCTTTGAGAAGAGCGGGGTTGGCAAGGGCCGGGTGCGCCCGGCACACAGCGGCGCCTCCCTGGAAGCCGTTGTGGTGGCAGAGCTGGTGTGCGCAGAGCTACACCCGCAGAGGCCGCAGAGATCGCCCCCAGTCCTGTGAAGGCCTTGCCGTTGGCCAACACCGCCAGATGTTTGAACGTCTGGAGGTGACGAAGGAGATAGTAAGAATAGGGAGGGAGTTGATAGAAAACTAGTAACGCTTTTCAAATAGAACTCAGTTGTATGCAGTATTGAGAGAGAAGACGGAAGCCCATGCCATGGTGGACAAACTAGGATTTCTCTCTTTTTTTTTTAAGTTTTAAGTCCAGTATAGTTAACGTACAGTGTTATATTAATTTCAGGTGTACAATATAGTGACTCAGCACTTGCATACAGCACCCGGTGCTCATCACAACCAGTGCCCTCCTTCATCCCCGTCACCTGTTTCCCCCCTACCCACCGCCGTTCTGGTGACCATCAGTTCTCTGTAGTTAAAGAGTCTTGGTTTCTCTCTCTCTCTCTCTCTCTCTCACAAAGTAGGATTCCATTGTTAGGCTTTAGGAGATCGTGATAGGACCTGCACCATTGTGAAAAAGACTTATCTATGTGGATACGCACATTCTGGAAAGAGGGTTCTGAACTCTCATTAGATTACCACATGGGTGTCCAGAACCCCAGGAAAGTAAACACAGACTAAAGAATCATCTTTGGAGTAGACTGTTAGCATTAATTTTCAGATAAAAAGGCTAGTTGGCCCTCCCTTATAATCACCGTGCATTAAAATATGCCTCTATAACTTGTGCTACATTACAAATGGGAAAATACTACCGAATGCATTTATCTATTGCTCTAGTTTGTCAGCGTCCTCAGTGTCTTCCAACTGCGCATAAATAATTTGTGCACACTCACTTCCTCCCCAGCCGCCACCCCATTTCTCTGTGGCTCTTTCGTTCCGGAGGAGAATCGTCTTCCCACATGGGCTTCCCCTCCTCCTGGCCTCTTTGGAGCCCATGCCGATGAGGCTTTCTCTCCCTGTCTACTGAACTGTGCTGTTGGCAAGGACCCTCGTGTCGCTTCCAGGGGACACTCGTCAGTCCTCAAGTTCTTCAGCCTATCAGCAATGTCTAACACCACGGGTCTCCCTCCTCGAAATGCTTCCTTCACTTGGTTTCCAGAATTTCCCACTTCTTACCTTACCAGCTGTGGCTTCCTCATCCCAGTGGCACCTTCCCCTGTCAGTGACAGCCCTCCAGGCTCAGCTCGCCCCCTGTTTTCTTCCCTATATGCTTCTGCCTCAGATTCATCAACTTTCTCCTTTCTCAAGCCATGGATGGTGTTGGATTCAGAAGAGGAGCCGGCAGTGGATTAATCCATCAGCTTGTGGGCTATATTATTTCCATAATGAAGATTAACAGTAAAGCTGTTTTCACACTGGAAACAAATGAGTTCAATACAAATTAAGAAGACATTTAAATATCTTTAAAAGGAAATATGTTTACTCAACAAACATTTGGAAGGAGATTTAAATGCACTAAATAATGAAAGAAATAAAATTCAAAATAATATCTGCATATACCTTTAGTAGAACAAAATATCAAAGATTTAAAAAATAGTGATCTGCCCAGTGCTGGTAATAGGCAATGAAATGACACATCTTCATTTACCACTGATAGGCATCTAATTTGATTTAGCCCTTGTAGAAAGTATCAAACTCACTACCAGAGTCTTAAAATGTCTATTCCCTTGATTCCGTAATTCTGTTTCTGGAATTTGTTTTTTATGATTTTCTATTTTTTTTAAGTAACCTCTACACCCAAGGTAGGGCTTGAACTCACAACCCTGAGATCAAGAGTCACAGCCTCCACTGACCGAGCCAGCCAGATGCTCCTGTTCTAGAAATCTAACTAAGGAAAGCTTTAGTGTGGAAAAGAACTTTGGGCACAAAAATACGCATTGAAGTGGTTAATTTTAATAATAATATCAACAGTGGGAGCACATGGAAGCAGCCTATTTATCTGACTGCAGGGAAATTGTTAAATAGACTACAGTACGTCAACCCCGTGGAATATTTTAAATCTATTAAGATGATCTATTTTAAAGAGTATATGAAAACATGAAAAAATTCCATGACGTAATGTTAAGTGAAACAGGGAAGATAAGACAGTTTACATAGTATTAAAAAATTCACACATAGTAAAAAATTAGAAGAAATTCACTGCAATGTTAGTAGTGCTTATGTTTGGGAATTTTATTTTCCTTTTTGTTTTTAATTAGCTCCTATGTCTGGGGGAAGTATAAATAAATAAATAAATAATAAAACTACAAAAACCTGTTTGGTTTTGGTCAGTTCAAGATTTGGCGAAGAAATGATAATGAAATGATCAAAGTCACTAGTATACATATTTCATAAAAGAGAAATTGTTCCAGTATAAAAGAATTTATTAGAAAGGAAGAAATAACAGGAGTAAGGAACTGTGCCTTGTAAATGAATACAATGAATGCTTGAGTGCAAGATCCAGGACCTGGACTGTGGGTTCAAATCCAACTCCACCTTTCCCAGGTTTGTGACCTTGGACAAGTTACTTGACTCCTCTGTGCTCCAATTTCTTGGAAATTGGAATTCTTGCATCTACAGAATGCAAATAACAAGAGCACCTTCCTCACAGGACTGTCAGGAGGATTGTGTGTTCACGGAGGCCCTGGCTCTCGAACATGCTCACATGCTCTCTTCATCTCTCTGTCTCTGTCACCGTCTCTGTCTCTCTGTGTCTCTTACATATATATATGGAAGTGTTGTCTACCATTATTGTCTTCTCATCATCTCCATCAAAGCTCAGGAGTCAAATACCACTGGTGTTCAAAACCCCTCTCCGTGACTTACTTGCTGGGGGACCCAGAGAAAGTACATTTAGCCTCTCTTGCCTGAGTGTATTTGTAAAGTGGGGAGAGTACCTGCCTGTTAGGGTTGCTATGAGAACCAATGAGATCAGGTTGGTCATGTGCTCAGCACAGGGCTTGGCACACAGTGATGCTCACAGCAGAGGTAGTGGGGAGGTATTGAGGGCTGCTACCATGGTGGTGGATTCTGTTTTTCTTTAGGTCTCTTCTGAACCAGAAGGAAGTTTAGGGGCATATGGAGAGTGAGCTAACAATGAGGGTTTTGCTGTCCACTCTTGATGGAGTAAGGAAGTTGAGGATCAGTGATCATCATAATAGTTTATAGGTTTATATTGCTTTATAGTTTTGAAGCTCTTTACATATATGTTGACTCCTTGATACAACAATTCTGTGATGTAGTAGACAGAAGACCTGTCCTCATCACTGCTGTTTACCAATGTCATAGTCCCTGTATTTATAGTGGATTTCAGCAACTAATTCTATAGATATTACACTTCACTCTTGATCTAGCTGTTCTTGAGTACTTAGTGTTTTAGGTAGATGCTATGTCCAGTACTTTGGACTTAAAGTTCTTTTTTTTTTTTTTAAGATTTTATTTATTTATTTGAGAGAGAGAGAGCATGAGAGGGGGAAGGGTCAGAGGGAGAAGCAGACTCCCTGCCGAGCAGGGAACTTGATGTGGGACTCCAGAATCATGACCTGAGCCAAAGGCAGTTGCTTAACCAACTGAGCCACCCAGGCGCCCTGGACTTAAAGTTCTTTGTCCTTTTCTTTACTCCCTTTGAGCAACCCATTCAAGTGGCCATATCATGGATTCTGTATCCCCAAGAATTATTCCACCTCTAAATTGTGTTCTTTTTAAGCAGGGTTTGAACTCACGACCCGGAGATCAAGACCTGAGCTGAGATCAAGAGTCGGATGCTCAACAGACTGAGCTACCCAGGCACCCTAAGTGCTACTTCTCTTTCTTATTTTCCCAGGATATTTACATTAAATTTTTTGGTTACATGAATATTCTCTATTAACAGTCTATGCCTATATATATAATATTCAAAATGAGCATTACAGGCTACTATGATTGGGGTTTTTTTTGCTTTTTGTTTTTTATGATGTTAATAATTGTCTTGGTTTTCATGTTTTTCTCTCTCTTTGTAAGCCTCTTGTCTGAAATCAATGTCTCCTGCCTTTCTTCTGGCTTTAGCTCTGGATAGTCACTAACCCTTTGTAATTGCTAAATCCAGTGGAGTCTTCCAGCCCTAAACTTTTATAGCTGTGCTCTTCTTGTTACTTCCTCCTCCCTTGGTTTCCATGACATCACTTTATCCCATCTTTCTGAGCACTCCTTTTTAGTCTTGCTTATGCATAGTCCCCTGTTTACCTTCCCTTAAGTGTAGTGTTCCTTAGGATTCTATCTGTAATCTGATTCTTACTCAACAGAATCTCTTTAGGCAATATCTGCCATGGCCATGAATGACTTCTATTATTTATTCCTCCTTATAGAACTTTCTTCTAAGCTCATTTAACTGGCCATTGAACATACAGATAGAGAGTATGAAGACATTTGTCAGTGCTTCCACTCCTGTTCAAGGTCCCACTCTCTTCTTGTGACATCTGCATATGCATTGTGTAGAGGCTTTGGTATCTGCCTGTCTAAAGTTCCCTTCGCCCTACCTGCTCCTGTTCACATAGACAAGCCACCTCCTTACCCTTTTACTGTTCCGTTCCCTTCACACACCACCAAATACACACACACATACACTCTCTTCTCCAACTTTTCCCCTCTCAAACACCTGCACTGCCTCTCTCCATTTTCATTGGCAAGAAAGCTGAAAGTTTTCTCTCCCCCAACTCCTCCTATAGGAGGAGGATGTTGGACCAATTGTCAGATCCCAGAGAAAGCAAAGTATTTTACTAATTTAGTATGCTTTATTTCTACTTGATAGTAACTATTTTAGTAGGCCATCCCTTTTAAAATGTGTTAATCCTTGAAATGTTTAAAGAATGATCACTTGACAGTAGTGCATATCCATGCAGTCCCTTCTGCATTGTTAACTTTTAGATTTAAAACCACGAGTGGTGGGCGCCTGGGTGGCTCAGATGGTTGGGCGTCTGCCTTCGGCTCGGGTCATGATCTCAGGGTCCTGGGATCGAGCCCCGCATCGGGCTCCCTGCTCCATGGGAAGCCTGCTTCTCCCTCTCCCACTCCCCCTGCTTGTGTTCCCT